TAAGACCTGAATTAAAGTTGTAGGAGCGACACCTAGGGTTGGGCTAAAAGCTTACTTACTTTTGGACTCAGGTGGGTTTTTATACTCATCTGGCCACTTGCTAGTTGTGTGATACTGACTAACCATGTTGGGCTTGGGGATTCTTGATTGTAAACTTAGGACAAAAGCACTTACCTCATGGTATAGCTGTGCGGAACAGAAATAATATATATATAAAGCAGTGGCCATGCAATAGGCAGTCAATAAGTGGTAACATTATTTAAGCATAAAGTGAGCCCCAACTGCATATATAGGCTTTTGAAAGACTTCCTTTAAGGCAGTTGTAACTACTATTTTTTTTTATGAAATTACATCACTTTTTAGGAATCTCAGTCAGTTTATGATTTTGCATAATTAATAATCATTACAGTCACACAGGAAATGGCTAAGTTCCAATCTTTAACACCCTCTTCTTCCCACCTTTTATTTTGATTGTCTTGTAGTTACCGAGGCTCTGTCAAACCTAACCCAGCAAAATTATTTTTTTAAATTGCTTAAATGAGATTTTCCTATGACCCAGGGTTGACACATTAAGTGATAAGAGTGTCTCCTTGGTAATGATGATCAGTAACAGAGGAGATGCTAGAAAGATACCTGCTTAGACCGGCTTGCATGGCAATCCCTTGAAACTCATTTGAGGGACCATTTTTATTATTAATTATTTAGGACTATGGAGCGGATCAGTCCTCAGGCTGACAGTATTTTCCAGTGAATTACCGTCTACACATGTGTCAGTGTTAAGTGTGTGTGCGCGTGGGCGCGGCCCCAGGCACAGCAAGGGAGCGCATTCCTCACACGGGCGTGATTCCCAGGCTGATCCGCACCCTGCACTGCCATGTACCAGCTCCTTGAGCAAGTTATGCTGTTTTTCTGAATCTCCACTTTCTTATATGTAAAATGGTATGTGTAATGCTATAAACAAAACAGCCAAGCAGTTTTCAGTCGCTTAGACATTTTAGTAATTAAATGGCCTTGACTCCATTTACACACACTGAGGTTATATTTTATTCTAGCATCTTCAATATGATTTGCCTCGCAAGCCACCAAAGATGGTATCCAAAAGTACAGACTGCTTCGTGAAAACAACCTACTGCCTTGATTGATCCTGACAGTGGCTCCAAGAGTGAGGAGCAGTGGTTTCCACTTTCCCTATGAGGGAACTGAGGTGTAGAGGTGAAGTGATCTGCCCAGTGTCACCCAGGGGACTTCTGGAGGCCTGGGACACACCCCCACAGCTGCCTCCAAAGCCAGGCTTGCAACTGCTCTCCTGGTCACCTCACCGTGGCCCAAGGCTTCCATGAAGAACAGCAACGTGGTAGTTGTGAAATTGGCACTGGCATCTGGTTCTCTTTACCCAGCTGCTGTGGCCCTTTCTCCTGGACACAACTGTGCTCCCTTGTGTCCCAGCTGGTACAGTTTCTTAAAGGAACCCTCCACTCTGCCCCGGCAGAGACACCGGGAAGGAGGAGGCGTTGGGGGAAACTCAAACTGGACATGCGGTGCACGCTGGCTTCACTTAGACACACACCCATCTGCTGACACATCTTCAGAGCACCTGGTGGGGGTGCTGGGCTGGCCTCATAAGTTTCCTACAGCCACATAACTGCAGCAGCCACCGCTCCTGGTGATTCCACCCAGGAAAGGATGGGAGAACTGCTGGGCCCTGACTGCTTAATCCCTTCCTAATCTCTGGAGTCTCATAAATCCTTTAACTCCTCAAATACTGAACAGTAAGAACTTGGTTTACAGACACATTCCAGTCATAGGAGGCCTAGCTACTGAGCTATGAAATTCAGGGAAAGCAGGGGAGTAAAAAGGCTGCCAGGGGGCTACCTTGAAATTAGTTTGAATATAATCAGTGAGAAACGGAGGCAAACTCCTACTTACAGAATTATTATTTTTGTTTAGCAAGATATATAGACTTAATTTTGCCCAGAAAATTGCATAGGGAAAAACCTCTCAGTAGAACCATTGAAAAGCAATTTAATATTTTTAATATGGCAAATCTTTCTGATTTGCAACTATTTAGCCATGAAATCTTAAAATCCAATCAAAGTCTATTTTTAATAAATGCTGCTTTACCAATTTTATTGTCCATTTAACAACCTAAGAAAATTAACATTCTTTAGGTGCTTAAATTTAACCCTAATGACAAACATTAAGCTTTCCAACTGTCATTCAGATAATTTAGTGCCTGTAAAAGATGGGTTTGCTTTTCTGATATCTGGTCTCAAAATTGTAAATAAGGTCAATTTACCCAGCAGCCTGCAAATTCCTAAGCAATTTTGTCTTACTCCCCAGCAGTCATTTAGAAACATAAAAATGCAGTATGTTGCATGACAAATAAGAACACTTGAGAGGTTTTGCATTTCATTCATTAACATTTCTTCAAAGGATTGGGCAGAAGTTAGTCTCATCATGAAAGTGGCACCTGGAGAAGTGACATGACTAGTGTCATTCAATGAGACAGAGGTGGGGAGCAATTTTCTCACTTTGCAAGTTCTCTCGCTTAAGGTCAGTGGACAGCACACTGGACTAGTATTTAGTGGATCAAGGCTCTGAGTTTGTTGCAAAGCAGTGTTGCCTAGCTGAGCTCAGATTCTTCCTCTAGAAGGTGGTAATAATCTTAAAACATAGCTCATGGGATTTTGAGCTGACTTAATTCTACCTGATAAATAAAAATGTTTGCAAACCAGAATCTTTCCTTTTCTAAAGTAAGGAAGTATAGCATCTTTCTGGTTGTTCTCTAGATATCTGCTCTGACCAGGATCAAATACACAACTCTGGCCATGTCTGCAGCATAATCTCTGTTTGCTTAAAACAACCATTTTTCGTTGCCATAGACTAGTCATAAAATGCTTACCCTGGTCCCTGAGAGTTACAAAAATGTGTGAATGAACCAACACAAAACCGATCCACTGCTAGAAAGACAAACCTGGCATTGATGCGTCTACTGACTGCGTCTTCCCGGCCACTGCCCAGTGCAGCTGCTACACACCCTTCCTGTCTCCATAGCCTTGTTGTTCTCATGAGAAGCTCACCATCATATATACATTTTATTTTACTTATATGCTGTCTCCTCAATTAGAATGTAAGTTCACTAGGGCAGGGGTTTTTGTCTGTTTCATTCTCTGTCATATCTCTCACACCAAGAACAATGATTGACATAGAGAAAAATGAATGGATCGTGTCCAGCATGCGACTATTATACAGATGCTCATGTATCTTCAGCCAAAGGAAACCTGGGAACTATTAGGAATGGCTCACTAAGACTTAGGTTGCTTTTAAGATTTCAATTCTGATGTGTCAAAGTCCACAATAAAATAATTTGGTTATTTTTCATGTCTTCTACCATTGGCATCGTCAGTGGTTTGTTATTCCAGTTATCTCTGTCCTTTCGGTTTTTCTCTTTGTGAATAGGGAGTGCAGGTCTTGTCTTAGATACTCATCTTAGATTTATAGAAAACATAAGCTGTAATGAGGGTGTGCTATACACTGAATGTATGTGTCCTTCCCAAATTCATATGTTGAAACTTAATTCTCAACATGATGGTATTTGGAAGAAAAGGCTTTGGAAGATGGTTAGGTCACAAGGGAAAATTCCTCTGGTATGGCGTTAATGCCCTTATAAAAGAGATTCGAGAGCTGCCTCACCCCTTCCCCCATGTGAGGACACATAGAGAAGACAGCTTTTTATGAATCCGAAAGAGGACTCTCACCAGACACCAAATTTGCCAGTACCTTGGTCCTGGGTTTCCCAGCCTCTAGAACTGTGAGAAATAAATATCTGTTGCTTATAAGTCACCCTGTCTATGGCATTTTGTTAAGCAGCTCAAATGCCAGGGAGTTTCCCCCTCCCCCTATCAGAATTTACATGTAAATTCTAAATCTACTCTCCTAAGCAATTACTCACCATTTAATATTCACAAATTTCCATTGTATACTCAATTGCAAGAAACCAAAGTGTGATTATAAACAGCACTAATAATAAACAGGCAAAAAAAAATGTTTACCACCCTCTGTTCCCACAGCACTTGGGAGATCTGTCAAATGGTTCTGAGGCAGATTGGAAAGAGGGGGTTGTGTTTGAAGTCATAGCCCAACTGCTAGTGGTGCAGTTTCCCTATTTTATAGTTTAGGAATTACTATTTAGAAAACTCTAGCTTTGCTCATGAGCTATAACAGGAGAAGATGAGCCTGCAGGGATCTTTAAAGAGAAAAATCCAGTGGAGAAGGAGCAGAAGAACTGGGAAAAAAATAAAAAAATCCCACTATGCTGTTGCTTTCATGAGTCTGAGACAGGGATTTTCCTCTATCTTTATACAACCACACAGTGGACAAGATGTGACAGCGCAGGAGAGGGGCACTTCTTTCTACCTTTAATCCTCTCAGGTCTCTGGCTCCTTGAGTTGGAAAAACACTTCATTTTGTAGGATTTTCCTAAATAAAACTCTACACTTTGCTTGTACAGGAAGGAGGAGAATGTGATTCTATTTCCACATCTAGAGCTGGTGTGGACACGTATTTGTGAGCCGTTGTTGAAGAGAGTGTAAAATGACGCAGGTGGTGGTGGAAAGTGTCTTCTGTCAGCCTGTCCCACCTAGGATTTTTCTGTTTCTTTTGTGACCTTCACTTGGCCACTTCTGCTTTCAGGGAATTTTCCAGACAAAGCCTCATGATTGTCTACCCGAGAGACCCAAAAGGCTTTAAATGTATCTGGTCAATTTCCAGAGGGAAAGAAGCAATGTAGAGACAAGTGTCCTGTTTGAGGACATTGGCTTCATCTAGAGAGTCTAAATGAGTCCTCCAAATGTGCATACATGCTACCAATACATTTATTTCTCTTTTAATTTTTATCATGGAAGTTCTTCCGTGCTTTGACATAGACCAGTGGCCACAGTAGGGAAAGTAAGCGCGGCTCAGTCATTAGAATTTATAACATGCAGAGAAGGTTTACTCACCAGCACTGACAGTGATCGCTTCAATAAACTGCTCTCTCCAGCTGTTTGTCCCAACCACCAGGGCTAGGTTTGTCTTCTTAATAAGTTTGTCCACGGTGCTCTAGAAAGGGTGAAATGAATAAGAAAATAACTGCTGGGTTAGCTAAGGCCTTGGAAAATCTAAGACTTTGATGATTTTGAAACCCCAGAGTTATATAAAGAAAGGGTAGCAGATGTTAGGCTCAGAACAACAGTATTGACATCAAACACTGTTATGATTATGCAAACAGGCATAGTCCTTACTTGGAAACATGCTGAAATGGAAACTTCTTTTTCATAGCAAAGACAAGCCTCCCTCACCGCCTAAATGGCCAATGAAGAATGGCCTCGATGTTCAGATTAGCAGATGCTGCAAAAGCCCATCCCCTTCCCCTGAATGCTTTATGAACTTGCTTCTAGACGGGCTTCATCTATAGTGTGCTGTCGGCAACTGAATTAACATATGCCCCACTCAGCAGTTATATATCTGCGAATAACCTGAATTGGCAGAGAGATTATAAAACTAGAAACTGTTATGGTACTTTGTTTATCAATACATTGCAGTCAGACAGCAGAACCTCAAAATTGCTGCTGTATGATCACCTATAAATGGATTTTTCTCTGGCTCCCGATTTTGTCAGCCCAGGGGCTGTCAAGAGAATTCACTCTCTCCCTACTCCTGTTGCAAACAAGAAAGCACAAGATAAGAAAAGGTCAATGCATAGAGTTTAGGGCACACTGCAATTTACCTTGCACTGAGTCCCCCTTGCTTTACTAACACTGAACCTCTTATTTTTCTTTCTCTTTCAGCCTTTTTTAAGTACTTGGTTTTTACAATTAGCACTTTCTAGCTTTCTAATTGTCACTTAATGTAACAACTGGAGCAGCCAAGCATTTGCAAGAAAACTAAGTAAGCAGATGCATCCAAAGCACTACCACACATCACAGCCACTACAGGGAAGAGGGTCATGTCCAGAACACGAGGCTGCTCTTCCCAGAGGGACCACCACATCGACTAGTCTACCACACAACCACACTTACTGTCAGAGCATCCTCGAATTCCCACTAATTGCAAAGAGGCAGAAAACACGTATTATTTGTCTTAGGTCAAACTCTGTACATGTTTAATGCAGTGTACCTGAATTGACTATGGTTTGAGAGAGAGAGAGAGAGAGCACATTATCAGCTAACTGGGAGTGGGAAAAAAAAGCAATCTGAGCCTGTACAGAGGGCCAAAGCTATCAGAATATCAAGTGTGTTAGTTCAACAAGAGGCATTTGAACTGGCTTGAAATATTGACATAACATGAGAGGGCCCATCTCCAACTGGCCCACTCTGGATTTCTAACACGGTTCTTTGCTAGCTTGTTTGTCCTTAAGGGTGGTGACCTTTCAGCCTCTGGCCTTGTGTCTAGAACTGCCAGTGCTCCTGACAGCAGCTGTAGCCATCACTGCTCTTGGCCACCAGAACTTGAGGCACATGGCAAGCATCTGGCTTTTCTCTCTCAGCCACATCTCATCAAGCACCTTGTCTTGGTTGATGCCAGGTCAGAGTTCTGTGTAGAATGTAGCAAGAAATGGCCTTGATTTTTCCTAAATGTAACGGAAACTTGGGGCAGGTCTCTCTCCAAAGGAACCCTCTTTGCTCTGAAGCCCGGGCAGAGAATCCCATGTTTATCACCTGGAGATAAACAGTTGAACAGATAAACTGGTCTAACAGTTGAATGCCTCAAGAAATCTCTCTAAAGAACAACGTTTTAAGATAAATAGAACTTTAAATTTATAAGTATGTAATACTCAGGATAGACTGTGAACTTTAGTTCATGTTAACCCTGGGGGTCTATGGGATAGCTTGGGTTCTTCCTAGGACTTAATTTGCATATGTGTCCTCCTTTGACCTATGGGAGGAGGCAGAGTGAATAAGCTGAATCTGAAGTTCAGGCACTTGAACTGGGACAGTGCCATCTGTGTTTACCTGGAGGTTTCCTATACGTTAGTGGCATCACTGCCCAAGCCTTAGGAGTGACTGTTATAACCTCACCTTCAGCAACGGCTTCTAGGAAAGCCAAGCCCTCAGTCACAAGTAAACAAGAACCCAGCGGGCAAAATCGAGTGGGGCACTGTAAGGTGTCATCTGGCTTTGGCATTTTAATGCAGTTCTGAGACCTTTAAGCAAGTTCTTTAAAGTGGCCATGGTTTAGAAAAAGAAATTTCTTAAAGAAATAATAGATGAAAATTGATACTTGAGGGTACTTCGGAAAAATGCCCCCAAGGTGCCCTTTACTGATAACAGAAAAGGTACTGATGAACTTTGAGGAGATGGGAGGAAATAGTCCAAGGAAGCTATTCTAGGAAGAAAACTACCCCAAACAACTAGACTTATGTAAAGAGACTTGGGGGACTTTCAAATGCTCAGATCACTAGGGTTGTTACCAGAGAGAGCTTTGGACTCAAGAAAGCATTGTTGTCTGGAAGACTGCCCTGCCATACCCAACCCAATGCGCCCTACAGGAAGGCACTATGATTGCTCTTCCTAGTCCAGGTACATGGAAGGGCAAGGTTGGGGGTTCTGCTGTAAGGGAGAGAACACAGTTCCCCATCAGTGTCCTGGAAGGGGTGGGAGACGAGCTTCTACAGAAATGCCTAGCCGTAGAGTCTCTGCTGCAGCAAGTGGCAGCAGGCCCTCTGATTCCAGCTGAAAAGAAGGTGCATGAGGAAGAGGGAGGTTGGACACATCTGGACAGACTGGCCCATGGAAACGGACGGTCTGAGCTATTGGTATTCTGCAATTACAGGGAGCTTGTGTGTGTACCAGTCGTGTGTGCAGTGAGCCAGCTTCCAGATCAAACAACAGGTGAGCTATGAGGGTCAGGGACCGCCTAGAAAGCACTGATCCTGGAATTTACCCCTGTCTGTTTTTCTAGGGGAATGAGTGAAAGGAAAAGTTAACAGATTTTTTTTTTTCAGTTGCCTGAAGGGGAAAGTTTAATTGCATCTCTATCTTTTAAAAATTCCACTTTAATTGCAAAGGCATTTTTACTCTCCACTTGTCTTCTATCAGCCACCTCAATTTGTGAACTAAAAAAAAAAAAAGATAATTAATGGGCCCAGCTAAAGGAAAAGAGGCCACGGAGATGGAAAATCCAGATAAAATACTGAGACTTCTAAGTTGGTGGCCTGATTCTCCCTTTTGGGATCCTCATTCTGGTTTCCCAGACAGAAGCAGTCAGCTTTTGAAACACAGGTGGAGAAAAGACTGCTGTGCTCTGGATGTGTAGTTCTGGAACGCCAGAGAAAGGCTGCTCTTCTTCACGCCTTCCCCTCCCCCTGCTGAACTACGGCGTGGCTCCCCTGGAGTTTTCTCAGATGTTAGGGCTGTGTGAGTGAGACGGGATGGGAGGTGGGCGAGGGGACGAGGGAGCAGCTAAGAGTGGGCAGGAACTTTCACCTCCAAGTCCTCAGCTTACCCTAAGGCCCATCTGTTTAACTTCTGCAAAGTAAGTGTCATCATGGAGAGAAGTGCTAATCCAATTTTATCAGCACAGTTACAAGCTCTCTGGTTATAGGCCTATACCTTCAGTATGTTGATGGTGCTAAAATGTCCTGGGATATTAAGAGGATGACTAAATATAAAAGGGAGTTGGTCGAGGGGATGTTCCACAGGGAGAGCTTACCATCTCCTCTCCAAACCAGAAGCCTCCTAATTTTCAGCACCTAACCGAAGGCACCTAAATTTCGTTGTGATTGCTTTGCACACGTGACACTCTCTTGGAACCCACCTTCGCTTCTTCCTTGATACCTTCTCAGACACAGTCCTCCTTTTGGGCCACCTCTGACCCTTTGACAGATGCCACCCACTGAGCCCTGGTTCTGATGTTGTTTGATTCGTGGGAACTTTCGATTCCTTACTGTCTAATTCCAATTCTGCTCTGAAGGCCTCTCGGTTAGTGAGCAAGTTTCTGAAGTTACATCTGCCTCTCTTTCCCAATGGATCTTACACTATGAAGAGTTTTGATCCCAGGATGGCGCTGGCCTCCCGGGTGGGCAGTGCGGGTGAGCGTACCTTGAATTCATAGGATTCTTCGATGATCACTTCCAGCTTGGTGTGTTCTCCCAGGATGGGGCGCCCCATTTCTGCAATGCGCCTCTCCTCCTCTTCTTTGCTGGTCAGCGGCTGCTTGTCGTCACATTCCTCTGTGAAAGGGATGGGCAAGAGAGTGAGCCATGTGCTCAGTTTTATCTGGAGCTCCCTGGATCAGGAAACCGAGGGGGAAGGAAGCCCTAATGACCTACTGAAAATCCCTGGGTGAGATCATAAGGCTGGAGGGGAGGATTGGACAGACGCTTGCTGTGTCAGGCAGCACATCGCTAGGACAGCAAGAGATGATAACGTCCCACAGCCTAAGCACATGTGAAAGGGAGACCAGGGAAAACAACTTATGGGGTCACCTCGCTGACAAAGACTCTGCCTGCAGGCCGTCTATGCTGTGGGAATCCCGGCTGTCCCCTGCGACGCCGGCTCAGCTGGCTGTTTCTACATATTCCTTCAGCACGTGACCAAAAGGAAACACAACTAGAACAGCAAGAGTGACTCAAGGGGGGAGGGAATCTGGCCTCTTTCTCTCCACTTTCTAGAGGCAACAGAAAATGCCCCAGGGCCAAAGAGATGATGGAAGGGAAATTCTGACCCTAGCCTCTCACTTGCCAAGAACCTCTGTTGCAAGTTAAGAAGGAAAACATCCATCCCGTGTTTCAGTAAGATGCCTGCTCCAGGGCTTCCTCTCTGGTGCAAAGCTGAAATGTGCTAGGAAGACCTTGACCATGCTAATCTTAAAGTAAACAGGGAGGGTGGAGGTGAGGCCTTGGGGGAGTCGATACTACTCACCATGTGAGCGTGATTATTTCCAGAACCACCATGTAGCTTACACTCCAGGGAGGCTAGGGGGTGCTGGCAAAATGTTAATGGACTGGAGAGTCCATTAATGAGGGGAAGCTCACAGTCGGCTCCTCTCTGCTTGAAGGTCATGAGGATAAATCCCAGACTGAAAAGGCCACGCACATGTGAAGGACAAAGACTGTTCCTATAATCACTCAGCCCCTTTATCAGTCAGGCCCAGGATGCTACAGCAAGAAAGGCCACTTCCCCTCGGAGTCAAGTTGAATAAATCGCATCTCCAAGGAAGTAGTGTCGGTGGTATAGAAAGACCTCGGCCCTGACGTCCTCGCTTTTAGAACTAAACAGGCAAACTACACGCAGTGGGAGTCTGTGGACTGAGGAGATAGCAGAAAGGGAGGGACTTCTAGCCCAGGCTTCCTGTCTTTTGCATTTAGGCATCAACTTCCGCAGGACTCCACACCTCCTATGCGCTCCAAAGACACATGGCTTCCCTCTGCCGAGGGACTCCACCGTGGTGGCTCCATTTGATGCTCTAGCAAATGCTGCAACAACTGGTTCCTAGGCCCATTGTTCCCTGCTAGGGCACAGAGCAGACGGGCTAGAGGCACTGCTAGCATTTTATATACACCACAAGTAAAAACCAACTGAAGTCCAAAGCAGAACATAACATATCACTGAAATCTTTAGTATGCATTCAATAGTGTCTTCCTAAAAGGATATTTCAGAATCTGCTTTCCTATCCCCAGTGATTACAGGGCCCTGAAGAGATGCAATGAAGACTAAAAAGCAATGATTTTGGATGGGCCAGAAATTGCTGAATGTTAGCAGATGCAAAGGAGAGGTGCAGGGAGATTAATTTTAACTGTAAATGTGGTCATCTTTTTTAAAGTAGACTAGGGAAGTTATGACCCAAGGGAAAGCAAAGGGTTGTGATTGGCGTCCTTAAGATTTGTCCTTGAAATTAAGAGTGTGTAGTCCAGGGGGTGGGCTAAATATGTGATGTCCAGTGTGCAAATCCATCATGTTTTGATTTTTACTGCCATCTGATCCTTGAATCCAGGATAATGTTGTTGGTAGCAGGTTATATTAATGTCTTTGTTCCAAACCTTGGCTGAACATGCATGCCTTGAAGACTTACATAAAGTTAGAATTACTTTTTCAGAAGAACTACTATAACTTGGGTTTTTATTTGAACTGCAAAGCCATTGGGGAAGAATTATGCCTCCCCCTTTTCTGTGCTTTACTTATAAATGGTAAGTTGCTTTTAATGGGATCAAGGTCATTTTAACGGGATTCAAGGTAATAGAGAAATTACAAACGAAAGGTGGTGTGAAGGCATTGTTTCACACTGCATTTCACAAAATGAAATGATTTGGAACATGATGTTGAATAAATGGACATGGTAGGAAATGAAATGGAATCATACAGTGAGTGGAAAGGTTATTCCCTTTTTAATCACCCTTCACTCCTGATCAGGAAGAATTGCTTAGTTTGGTGCTGTTATGTCTGCAACTAGTTCCTGACATTTGGGTTTGTACCATTTAAGAAAGAGAAAACAGCCCTCAGGCAAAGGGCATTTGACTGTATTTAGTTAAAACTTAATAACTTCTTTCCATTCTAATTTTTTTAACCTTATTTTCTACTAATGATAAATGATACTAGCTTTCCATTTGTGTTACTGACAAGATTTTCTTTAAAAAACAAATTTAGTGAAGTAGAAACATTAGGCAATTAAAAAAAAATCACATGAAGTAAACAACAGCATAGTTGGTGTGCAGTGAAGGCACAGATTATAAAGGAGGTTGGAGAGTGACCAAAATTTAGGAAACACTCTTAACAGATTTCACACTAACCTAAAGGAAAGCAAGACACCTTGTTTCCATCACTTCCCACTCTTGCTCCAAACTTGACTTGAATTTAATGCCTCACTTTTATTCTCTTGTCTACCCATCTGGAAAAGCTTCCCTATTTCCATCCAGATAATCCAACTTATCTTACAAAACCCCACCTCTTCTTGCATGAAATATCCCGATTGACCCATTAGGAATGACCACTCTAACCTTATACTAATTCCCTAATATTTGTTGTATTGAACAGGAACCCTGCTAATATACTTTAAAAAATTTTAAAGTTATCTTTAATAAACATCCAGCATGTAAACTTACTGAGTGAGACAGAATACGTCTCATTACTCTTCGAACTGTGCTCACAACCCCCAGAGCCTATTACAGCGTATAAAATGCCGTAGGTGCTCAGTAAATATTTGTTGTGAGACTCTCCAACTCACTGTTAGAAAGCCTCTTATTTGTTCTTTGTATGTAAAGATGATTTGTTCACTTAACCCATGTCATTGGGCTCCTACAGTATGTCAGTCCTTCCCCCTGAAGTCCTTCCCCCTTTTCCAGGAACTCGGGGCCTAATGGGAAGTGAGGCATGTAGGTGGGACAGCTTCTGGTACAGCAAGGCAAGGGCTGAGGGGCCAGGGACGAGGGGCAGCTCACTCTGCCTGACGGAGTCGGGAAGGCCTCAGGAGAGAGGAGATTCTTCAAATTGCCTTTGAAGCACGTACAGAAGCTTGCCAGGCGAAGGTGGTAGTAAGGATGGCTAGGAGGTGGCAAGGTAAGGAGGGGGCATTCCAGGCAGAGAGAGGTCAAAGCACAAGGGCATAGTGCCACGGAAGGGCCAGGGCTAATTTCACTGACTAAATGTCATGAACATGTAAGAGACCATTATTCGATATGTAACTGAAGAAAGGCACTGGAAAAATCCAATTACTACTCTATAATGATACCGATAAATTAGCATTTATGGTGCAGGTTTTTGACACTGCAAAGAAGAGGGCTGAGTCTATTTTTTAAAAAGTGTCCTCTTTTTGATAACTTTTATTGAAAAGAGGAATAGTTTAACAGCATTTTTTGATTATCTATTATGTTTGTTTGCTTTGCACTTTGAGCGCTGGATCAAATGTAATCCATTTTACTACGGTCAACTCAGTTTCATTCCCTAATGCAGAGTGAGAAAATTAATTATTTCTCTCTTTATATATATGTACATATACATGTATATATGTAGATACTATACACACACATATTCATGTATACTTTTCAAACTAACTATATTGTATTGACAAGTTCATAATCATACAACATCATGGTCTTAACCAACCAACACAACTTAAAGAGCAAATGCATAATTAATAGCCACTGTTTAAAATCAGTATTGATAGGACATAAAACAATCCTGTGATAAAATCACCAGCAGGGAAACCTCCCTTCTCCTGAGTAATCGATTTTGCAAATGGGAAATAACGAAAGGTAGGAGGTCCCTGGGATCTGGACAAAGCAGAATGATGCACAAGCTACTGCTGATGTTTCGGGCTCAGGATGCATTGTACAGCGGCATCACTGTGAGCAGCGAAGGGCTGAGAGTGATCCCTATTAGAAAACAATACAACCCACAGGAGATCTGTGCCGGAGGGGCTACTGTGGATATTCTTTCAAGTATTTGCCATTTTTAATCCTAACAAACAATGTCGAATTCCAAAAGGGATAGAAGCCAGTGGTGGAACAATTTGCTCCAGGCTATTTTAATCCTTGACTCAGATCTATGCTGGAAGTCTGAGAGCAGAGACCTCTTGAGAGTCTTCAGCGTGTGGCTGGCCTCTCTGATAAGAGCCTCAGGAGACTGGCACTTTTGTTTCCATGAGGAATATTCTAGAACAACTCTGCAGTCCGAGCTGGGTATCATGATTATTGAGTGGGGGTGTGGGAGGTGGAGAGGAGGGAGGAAGAAGGTGTTACTGGGGCAGACAGAAGTGTTTCTACTGCCATGGCCAGTGAGGGACCTTGCTGATATGAAAGAGGGACTATCCATGTCCTCATCTAGAGATGCAGGGCAAGGAGATGGTTCCTAGGCTCTGGATCTACGGAGATCTGGGACAGCGCTGGAATCCTCTAGTCAGCCTGTCAATGTTCCCCTCTGGAGAAACCCCACAGATGGACTATCATCTGTGCACATATGGCTCACATCATGTTCGCTGAAGGCAGGAAAGGCAGGCTCTGGGAAGAAATACAGTTTGCCTGCAGAGAGACTTCACTTAAGTTGGAATTAAAAACCCATGCTTGAGAAGTAAGATTTGCAAGAAATGTGAAATATATTGAAACTCTAGGGGGAGTAGCCATCAGGTTCAGTCTCCTCTGATGGTCCGTGCTGCTCCCTCCACCACGCATGCCTCCTGTCCCGTTGCTGCTGATCCGCCTCAACCCCCAGCTACAGAGAGCCATTGCATTATTTAGTAATGTTTTAGAGGGGACAGAGGCTAAACTGTGTCACTTCAATGGCTAATGACCTTGAAGACAGTTAACTTCAATTAATTACACTGGTTTTCCAGGACCATGATGAAACGAGTACCTGCAATGGTGATTACAGTAGAGGGAATCGGATGTTCTCTAGCGTGAACTTTCCTGAAGACAGGTTGGCCTAGCAAAAGGACAGGCAGAAAATCAGCAGGATGCATTGCACGAGTTTGCTAGCAGAGCTCTGTGGAATTAGTAAGCTAAACAGCACATTGAGATGCACACATCACAAGCAATGTTAGAGAATTGAGTGGTCATAGGTCATTCCTATGTAGGTTGCAGAAGTGAGAGGTGATGGGGCAAATGTTCTGCAAGCCAAACCAGATCATATGAATGGACCACACATGCCACAGTAGTGGTACAGCCAGATTCCTGCAGGTTCATGTCCTTTAAGCTATTGCTTCCAGAGGCATCATGAAAAAATGGAAAGCACTTGGTGTGATGAAGGGTAGCCTGGTTTTCCTACTGGTGCCAACAACATACCCCAGAGCAGGTCATTCCCCATTTCTTTTCAGATGTGAAAGGGGGTAATAGTTACTTGCTATTTCCACATCAAGGTTTGTTTGAAAGTCAAGTAACATAACATCTGGGAACATGTTTATATATTTCCTGGGCATTCTGAATGAGAGAATGTTGTATTCACTAGCAAGGTACACCATGGTCAGAGCAGCTGTTTGGATTACCTAGGCCTAGGGTTTTCATCACACTCCTGGTTCAATTGGCTGCCACATCCACCTGCTGTTGGCTTCTACCAAGACCTAACCTGGGAATCACGAGATTGGTGACTTGGTGTCAACTCTGTCATATGCTTGCTCTTTAAACTTGAGCAAGGCACTTCTCTTCCCTGAGACTCAGTTTTCTCAATTGTAAAATGGAACTGATCTCGAAGGGGGTTTGTTCCTCTAAGCTGTGTCCTGGAATGATTACGTGTTTTTAACTGTCAGGATTTTCATAGTTTGGTTTCCTTCCCTGTGCCTTAGTCTATTACATGATGAGATAATGTAATTGGAAGAGTAATTTTTAAAAGAGGTATATTGACTGTTATATGCTTCTAATTAATTAGGGAACTCTACAGCTGCCTGTTTGGGGAATCAAACTTTCTCCTCTCCAAACTGAACTAGAATACTTAATTTTATTAAAAATATCCAAATTAATGTGCAGTAATGTCCCCCTTTTGGGGGACCCCTGGTTTTTCATATGACTAGTTTTCATACTGGTGGCATATGTGAAACAGCTGGGCTTTGAATTGAAAAGAGGTAATGATGCAGAAAGGAATGAAGTGGTTAAGAGGAGGGAAATAGAAGTGCTGGGACTGGAACAGTCACCACATGGCCCTGGGCTTAAAGTCAGAGTGCCAGGCTCTGAGTTGAGAACGGGTGAAGGGGGGCAGATCGATCGATCTCTTTGCACCCTCATTTCCTCTCTTGTAAGTAAGAACAATAACATCTTATTCCATAGGACTGAGGAGTAAATGATACAACAAGTAAGAGTTGCTTTATGACCTCTAATGAGCTATAATGTATGGGGGTTATTATCATGTTAGGGTCAAGGGGGAAAGAGCTCATAGGTCCAGACAAGAGCCTTTCAGGGAGGCGAGTTCTAGGAGCAACAGGTAAAGATTTACAAATGCTGAAACTATCTCCAGAACTTAATGGCCACCACTGAGGAGGTCTCTGAAATATAAGTACTGGGCTGTGGACCAAACTTTTCAATTTCCATATATCTTGCTTCAAATTTAGATTTTCACACTCAGCTGTACAAGACCACACGAACACTGCAGGCAAAATCCAAAGGCTAGCCCTGCTGGTGTGGCATCATCTCATGCACCAAAAGGTTGCTAGTTCGATTCCAGGTTGAGGGCTCCATCCTGGTGGGGGCTCTCCAGGAGGCAGCCAATCAATGTTTCGCTCTCGTATTGATGTTTCTCTCTCTCTCTCTCTCTTTCTTTCTCTCAAAATCAATAAAAAATCTTTTTAAAAAATCCAAAGGCTAGGTTAAATTCCTCTCTACTACCTCTGCACCTCAAAGCCTTGACTTCAAAGCTTCAAACACACTTCAAAGGAAAACTCTTTGGGACTTAAAGCTGCTTTTGACTGTTTAGAACAAAGTTTTAGACCTTTCCCCAGGAGCATCTACAGAGCATTTATAGAGTGGAGGTGTTCCAGCCTAGTTCCAGAGGAGAAAGGCCATGTAAAGTCATGTAAAGTGAGAGGCCAATGTGGAGATTCTCACAAAGTTCTGGAACTTTCTCTTGTTCTAACAGCATCAATTTCAAGTCTAGGGAAGAGGTGGTGTCAACACAAAAACTGCTATTTCAGATGAAAATATCAGCCATAAGAGAGACCTTGATGAAGCATGTGAAATGACAGACACCTTTTTGTCAGTGTTGGACATCGGTGGACAGAGATTCTAGAACTTTATAGGAACGGTTTCTGAGAAAAGAAAACTGGGATCCAATTACATAGACACCAAAAGAGAAGATGCTTCAGTGATATGGAAGGAAGGCCCTAAAAGCAAAATCCTGACATAGCCAACGCTAAAGGAAATGGATAGCTATCCAAACACCTCAACGCATTTTAACAAGGTGTTCATTCTACAGCCAGGGATTCTTAGTAAAGGTCTCATTACCAGGTTGCATAGGGCTGAAGGTGCTGCTCAATATTATACTATTTCTACAATGGTTGATTTAAAAAAAAAAATCACTTCAAGGAAGCCATGAAGCTCAACGTCCCTTCCTCACATCTCACAAGGATAACTAACTTATTGGTTTACAGAATCAGAATATTTCCCAGAAGACTTCAATGAGTTAAAATGATGGGTGAGAAAAAGAAGATAAAAAACTTTAAAAAGAAACGGAAGTTCTTGCTCTTGGATTTAAAACCAGCATGTACGGCAGTGCAGAGCTGGGGAGACTGAACCTGGGGAGAGCTTCTGCTGGATCAGATTTAACGAACCCTCCGCCGGGACTTGTCCTGTTTAACATTTTGATCTTTTTCAATTTCCACATCTCTGAGAGCCTATGAGTCATTCTGCCATTAAATGTTTTGTCTGGAGCGAGGCAGCGGAGAGTAAGAGCCCATGTGAAATTGCTCCTACTCAGAAAGTCCCACTTTGGAGCTACTTGATCATGAGTTTACACTAACAGTGGTTTAAGTTAACCCCAAACTCCACCACAGCAATTTCGAAATGAGAATATTTGGAAATATTCCTTTTTATTTCTTTTTTGTTCCGTTGTCTGTGTTTCTAAAAAAAGTATTAGAATACTGATATCTGCACAGTATATTGGACGTCTGCTATTTATCTCCTTCTCTAACTCTGCCTAGACGATTTTGAAAGGGTGAGAAAATATTAAGGATGAAAAGAGAGGACACTGTAAGGAAATACCTTCCTTCTGTACACAAGAAAACAGCTTTAGAGTTGTGCTAAACAATTAAATCAGAACAGGCTGGGTATACCATTCTAAATTTAAGGGTTTTAAACTTGTTGACTGGCATTTTGAGTTTTTATAGAGCACTTTGTAATGCACCTCAAGTGGTAGAAATATTACTCATGAATTTATGTGTTAATAATGCTAAAACTTAAATCCCCAAAGTGGGGTTTGTTCACATTGGTGTGGTCGGATGATGGGAAGGGACTTCTCTGTCTTCTCCCAACAGGGTATTAGTTACTATTAGTATCCTGAGGTTGGTATGGAGAAATCTTAGATGTCAACTCCTATGTTTCCTTGAGGCGAGCATTTGTCTTACTTACTCTGGGACTTTTTTGGAACATCTAGCAGGGGGCATTGCATGTCATCATCAGGGCTATGTGAACATTTATAAACACACCAAGTGTCAAAATGTGAACAATTATAGGGTCTCCATATAAATTTGTGTGTAAATGAACACAACACACACATTGTTAATGTGTAAAATTTAAATGTCTAAAATCATCAAGAACACACCATGTGCTACAGCTAAATGTTAACATACAGGTTACATAAGATGAGGTTTTGGTTTGTTTTTTAAGGGTATTTGAAGAAAATGAGGAACATTAAAAAATTTGTCTTACCATACAGGCATTTTCCTTCATTAAAAGAAAGTAAAAATGAGAAATGCTTTTAAAATATATATACATACAATACATGGTGAAAACAGACAGTAAAAAAAGTAAAACTTGATGTCATTAGACTTTAAAAATTCATACCTGTTATTGTGAAGCCACCTAAAAAAGAGAAAAATAAATAAATGTTACAATTTACTTAACTCACACTCTAAATAACAAATACCAGTGACATTAGACTGCCTGACAACCCAACCAAGGCATAAAAACTAGCCAAATTATATTTATAATTAAGAAAAAATATGAAAACATCCGTTTATGACTTAATCACTAATCATTCTTTTAAGTTTATGGGATTTAGTGCACAAATTTAATTCTGTGCATACCTAAGAAATCACTGATTTTTAAAAAGGTTATACTAAACTAAAACTGGAATATAAATTATCTGACCTTAACAAAAATGAGGCCAATGGCCCTAAACAACAATCTTGCTAGTAAATCAATAGAAATAAAAGTAAAAAACTATTGTATCACTTGACAGAAATGGAAATTTCTAGAAAAATGGAAAGGAAATGCAAGAAATGAAATGCTTACCAAGCTCATTCAATAACAGGGCTGTGAAGGAAACAGACAAAGACAAACACAGAATAAGAGACCAGATGAATAATGAAAGTAAGAGGAATATCAGTGGAAAGAAATCCAGGCAGATCTAGTGGTAGGAGCCACTGATAAAAAAAATCAGGGCACCCCAAAGAAATGTGGCATTGGGAATATTTCCAAAGAAAGAATCCCAACACTAATTTCTGCAAATGGGTGTGATTGACTACATATATATATTTCACTCTGTATATTATTTCTTGACATTTAATCAAACATTTCTACTATATATGTTTACAGATAGTGTGTATATCTAGTTTACCAAATATAGTAGAAACATTTTATGAAGTTAACCCTAAACTTTGAGCAAGTCTTTTCATGAAATATTGCCTGGGAGTTAGTAAATTCAACATATGGAAGTCTTAAATCATCCAGGATCTCAGGTATTATACCTTTCATTCAATGAAAACAGATAAAACACTTTGGGAAATTCATTTTGGCCAACCTTTCTGGAAGGACACTGGCCCAAGGTGAAGCTGTCTCTCTGTAAGTTCTATTTGCTTGATATTTTGGCCATCAGGGAATGCTTATGTTTTTTAAATCCTCTAAACTCAAGTCCCAGGAATTAGGGCTATTTATCTGTCCTTATTGATGACTTCTGCACATTATAACTGGACAACCAGAATGCTTCTGTGGACACATAATTCCATGGAAACTGACAAGGCATGGTATGTGTGTGTGTGTGGGGGGGCGTGTGTGTGGGGGGCCTACATAATTTGTCTTTCAGGTTATATGCTTTAAACCCAGACCATACTGTAGCACTTCATTTTGGTGAAGCTCCCTGGCTGAATGGACCAAATAAATGTAGATGGGAAGGCTACAATTAGTTTTTCAGGCCCAATTTTCCTTCTAATGGTAGCGGCATTAGAGGATACTGTCAAAAACAAGTCAGTAATTTTATTTATAGTGATAAGAACCCACTTAGCGGGTGCAAAACTGGATAGTGCTATCAAGGAATTTTAATTTGCTTTTACATGAGGGCATATTTTATTAAAACAACAATTGAAAGAGCTGTATTCAGTATGCTCTCCCTTTAGATAAAAGACAGTTCTTTGGAGGAATTCATTTAGAAGTAAGTGTTTCTTCCTGTATGTTAATGAGGCATTTTTGATCCCATCTTTGTAAGAAATCAGCACAATCTTCTGAAGTGTCTTCCTTCTGCCTACTGTCCATGGAGCATGTTAAATAAGCTGAATTAAAATGGGTCCCCAGTGCTTTTTCCTCCATATTCCAAAGGCTCCTATTACCATTTGGAATGTGATTAAGTCAGGACTACAAACTTTTTTTTTTTTCTGATGGACCCTGAGGCCACTGAGTTCTTACAAATGTGGGATGAAATTCCTCCAAATATTGAGTCTGTATAAAAATTAGTCCTATATACTTGATTATTTTTACATGTAAAAATATAGATTTCTTGCAAAGTAGTCCATCTAATCGTTATTTGTTTGTATACAATGAATAAGAGCTATTAATATGTATAATGCTCATTTTATGCATATAATTAAATGGACAGAATTCCTTTTAAAATCTACACTATTACGGATAATTATAGGAAGTCCTCACAATAATTCAGAACAAAAAATTATCTTTAAAGCTGATATAAAATTCTTGCCCTTCCTTATCAAATATAGGCCTCATAAAATATAGAGTAAAAGAGAACAAAGAAATTGTCCTCTTCATTCAAATATTTTCTACAGATACAAGTACATATCAACAAAAAAAATCTAATTATGAGGATATGGCTGCTTATTTTTTTCTCTTTACGGTACATGTTAGAAATTTGTCAATTCTATAAGGAAAGAAAGATTTTGGAGCATAGGCTGGATAGGCCTTAAGCAAGGGCTACATCTTACTGAAGGGCCATATCCTTCCTACTTAAAGAAAATTGATATGACTATGATTTCATATATATGATCCCTTTTAAATGTTATATTTGATCATATAAAAATATTATGCCTCAGTGAACACTAGAATATAGATACCACTACACTTTAAGGATCTTAGTTCTTATTAAATATCTTTTTGAAATCTGGATCCTCTGTAGAAACATAATTATTTTATTCTTTTGAAATTTCCTATTAGTTGACATTAGACTCATTTACTACTTCTAATAGGTATTAAGTAGTTTGTATCACTAACATTTTAGGGGAAATTTAATAGTTGGAACCAAATTTGAGAATGATCCCTGAATAGGGAAAAAATAAACACATAAATCATTCTTTTATGTCATCGTTTCTGAGTGCCAGAAATCTCTTCCAGCATGGGTTAAATCTGGTTTCAATCAAGGTTAGTTGGCATTTCCTGAAGAAAATGGGCCGAGCTGGGTTGCACTTGTTAGGAAAGGGAAATGAAACTGCCAAAGCCTAAAGGAAACGAAGTATAGTACTTGGAAGCCGAGGAAGAGGAGAGAGTTAAGTGTGAGAGTAGGGAGACACGGAGAGAGTACAATTTCTCGCTGGTACGTCTTTGTATACTCTCACACCTTTCATTCCTCTTCTTATCCATTTTGGTTCCTCAAGCACAAGGGAGAAACTGCACTCTTTCTCATATTCCTCACGGTCAAATATTCTAATGGTAATGATCTTCCTGTGGGAACACAAGACAAAGGCAAAACAAATGGTTGGAGTCACACGCTCATGCTAGGTGTTCACCAAGCCGAATGTTACTGTGATGTTATGGAGGGAGAAATGGCAACACATGGACCTCCTGACGTATGTAAAAGGGCATCTCGGGTGCTCTCAGCTGGCCCCCATTAAGTTTTCTTTGCTAATTTATCACGTTCGCAAGTTCTTCCTGTTCCAATTAGCAGTCAGGAGGTACCCTGAATTAGGAAGAGAAACCAGACAGTTGGCTTCATCTGCCATGAACTTTCCCAGACACGGAGGCTTGATGGACTGCACTGAAAATTAGTAGCTCAGCCCTGTAACGCGCAGAGCGGCCCAAACTGGCTAGTGGAGCTCCAGCCGGCCCTGTGGCCCGGGGGAGGTCTATGCCCTGTTACATAGGTGGAGGGTATGTGCACTGGAAGTCACGTTCTGAAGAGCGCAGGCATCCGGGCGGCCCCGGCCAGCAGAAGCTGTTGGGCTCAGCCCTGGAGCAGCTCCCCCACCTTTCTTCTCACTCATCTCCACCAGGCGGGGCTCTCCAATCTCAAGGAAGAAGGTCTTGTTTTTCTCATACTCCTCATCATCAATTACCTTGACTGATATTGTTTTGCTGAAACAGAGAAGAATAGAAATTGACGAACAAGGGGAAAGGAAAAGGGCAGAGGAGGAACACAGAGCAGAGGAAAGCAAGGCTAACGAGCCGCATCCCAGGCGAACAGCAGCCGGGAACCTTCCACACGTGAGTTTTTCCTTCAAGAAGGAGTGTGGGAGAGTTCTCAAAGCCTGGACGGGTCACCCAAGGCGCAGCTGCCTTGCCAAGGGTTCGAGTTATCTCAGCAAAACATAAGACACGGCACTAACAGGGTTATCATCATCAGGCAAAGGGAGAGCAGAACACTGGCCATGATGATAAGAAAAGAAAAATCTATTTATTTCGTCAATGCCTTAACTGTAGGCTTGTCTGAGCTGTGTCCTGGAAACCACTCCTTTAGAACAAATCAATGAATCACTTCAAAATACTAACAGAGCTTAGCTCTGAGTGTTAGGCTTATAGGTTACTGTTTTGTCTTCATTGTGCTTTACTGTATTTCCAAACGTAATATCTTCAACCTAAGATTTTATTAAAATAATAAATGTATAAAAACACTGCAAAAGAGAATATAAAGTCCTTTATCTTACCCCACCCAATGTTCTAGGATTAAAGTCTTACTCAGGTTAGTCAGCTTTCCCACCGAGATCACAGGGGGAAGTTGCTCATGCTGTTTGTCTTTCCGAAGAAGGAAGCTGAGACTTCTCAACAGCTGTCTTGAGAAGTGAGGGGTGAGGCGTTATGATGCTATAGTTATTTATTTTCTTCCCTCCCAAAGTTGAGTTTCAACTTTCACAAGTTACACCATTTGCTCTACTTTCAAACTCCACTGATACACCGAAGTATAACGTTAAAAATTCTTCCTGTCACCCCACCCTCTAGTGCTTCTTGCCTTACGGTCTTCTGGTTACCAGTGACTGACAGGCAGGTGGGACAAATGCAAATATACAAATCTCAACTTCCCAGAAGCCTGATGACTCCGAAAATATATCTAATGTTAATCTCTTCATGTATTACAACTTACTCAGAACTCCTAAATACCTGTTTGTCTTTGAAAATATATATATATTTTTCAGTAACATTGGCCAAAAAACATTTCTGACTAAAGTTTTTGAAACAGTGAGTTTATATAGACACACAATTTTAATGGCATGGATATTATTTAGTTTTGCTGGAATTTTCCAGGTTTTCTGGAAAGAAACTGGTTTGTACATATAATTTTAATTTTGTGAATCCAAATCATAATTTCATTTAGACCTGTGCATGCCAAAGAGCATTAATGTCTTTTTTCCCAGAACAAAGGAAGCTACAGGTAGAAGTTGATTCTGATTCTCTGAGTTTCTCAGCCCCTGATGCTAAATGCTTTAGTCCTGCTTTCTTGGGTTAGCCTTGTAGAAATGAGATCAAATGATTGGTTCAGGTCCTTTGCAGCCCAATAGCTACTCTCTGATCCTTGGCTACAGAACGTCCCCACATGAGGCTTACATCTCACTTTTTCCCTACTAAGGAACTGGAGCTTGTGATAACGCCTTTTCTATCTCAGTTCTGTCCTCAAAGACTGAACTACTAAAGCTAGAAGAGCAGCTGAAAATGACTAAAGGAACAATCATTTTTTAAGGTAGTTAGATATTTACCAACAAGGTAACAAAGTCCAACTACATGTATAAGTGAACAGTTCCAGTCCAACTTCTAGAACAAATTTCTGGAATTCACCTATTTACTTAGCATATAAAAAAAAATCAGCTTGCCCTGACTAAAGTGGGATCATTCCTCAGTATTCCCCCAAGGATAAAGTATATGAATTTTAGGTATTAATTTCCATCTTACTCCTTATAATCATAAACTATAGTGCACATCTCTACTAAAGCACTGAGCACCATGAGACCATGTGTGGGAAAGTACTGATGGGTATTAGAAGGGCCATGGTACCTTTGTCTGGACCTGATGGCCTGAGAATGGTTATCAAAGCTCTTTGGGATAGGGTACATTAAACTCGATGTCTTGCTGCAGTGCTTTTGCTCATATTAATTAAATACACTTGATTTATTTTTCTGCATCCTGCACTCCCAACCCATCCTGCATCTCATCACATATTTTATTCAATTGTAGAAATAAAGACAGCACAGCATAGATGCTTAGAGTAGCCTTGCCTAATAGGGCAAGTGTTTGTTTAGGAAAAGCTACCAGTTTCACGCTCAAAGGACCACTTGACACAAATAAATGAAAACAACCAAACAACACAGTGTTTCTTATCCTTGATGAGTTTAATCCTTTGCTGTTGTAATAGCTTTATTTTCTATACTCTGAGTAGCTGATAAGTGTGACAGGGCCCGACACAATTTGTATAATAAACACTTAGAATTTATCATTAGACTATCACTATTCACTAGGGTCATAATCCTTAAAAATTATTTCAGTATTTGATAACTGTGACCCTGGAAAATCAAAGCTAAAGAAAAAGGGCACAGTCCCTCTGTGGGTGCCTGGCAAAGGCAGCTACAACACGGGATTTGCATAATGGCATATCATTTCAAAATCATTACTTACACAATCAATAGGGCCCCTGACAGGAGGAGCCATTACATTTTATATTGATTTTGCTCTGCTTGCACAGTAAAGCTATTAATTGAAACACTTTTTAAAGGACATGCCAATCAATTTAAAGAGGGAGGGTGAAGTCAATCCTTATGAATTAGCCCTCTGGATTGAGGCAGGTAAACATAAAAAGGGACTGGTAATGTCCACCTTTAGCTTCAGAACAGAGCTATTTCTCCCCTTAGCAAAGGTAAGATGAAGGCATGTAATTCTGCTCACATTCCAAGCCTAATGCACAAAAGAAACTGTTACCCCTCCTTCCACCACAGGGGATGTTAGCTGAGGTGGGGTGGATTTGGTGAAGACTCCAGTTACACCATCTTGATAATCAGCAGAAGCATGCCTCTGGTCCTCACAGTTCTGCAGTACAAACAGCATCTCCAGGACTGAAGGGACCTTAAAGGCCTCCAGTCTGCCCCCATTGCCACACCAGTCCCATATTCACAGGGCTTTTGCACCGTCACAAGGAATTCTCCCTGAGAACACAAGTTCACGTTGTCTGTTCTCCTAATACCCCTAGAAATACCTTCTACTACTTAAAATTGACTCAGAGAACTGAAGTAATTTCCAAGATCACAAAGTGAGACACCTGCGACTGTCTCCAAAGACCAAACCTTTCAATTATGTCACCCACAAGGTCCCTTATTCATTCAGCTGTGGAGTATTTTTATGACCACTTTAAAGGAACTGGATCATTATTTTAAATTAATGCAGAGGTTTATTGTTCTATCTTTCTGTTAACAAAGACTGCCTAGATGGACCATAATAGGTTTTCAATTCTGTTTTTAAAAGAAGTGCAGCACATACTAGATTTGATGATGGCTGTCTTAAAAAGTTAAATCCTTGAAGAGATAAAGGCTTTATTAGGATTAATTGAAAAATGCCAGGAACATGTAGAGACTCTGCAACTTTGAAGACTTGGAGCAGGTAGCTTGTTAGAATTCCAGAATCTCAGGGCCCACTCCATACCCACCAAATCAGATCTACATTTAATAAGATCCCCAGATGGGAGTTAAAGTTTGAGAAGCGCTGACCTGGAGAGGGTAGTGGGTTCTTCTATTAAGTCAGATAATGAATTAAGAGACTGGTGGTAGCCAGGCTTATGTTTTGGAACAGTCTACCTGTTAGAATCACGTGTGGAGCTTTGAAACTGTAAATGCCTGGGCCAGGCCTACTCCAGATCAGTGAAGTCAAACTTTTTGGTTGTGGGGCCCTGACATGCATATAGTTTTAAAAAGTTTTCCAGGTGATTCTAACTGGTGAACGGAGAGCCAGAATATATGGCTTGATGTTTAAAAGAATGTATTAAATAAAGAATGGGTAGAATGTGAGGATGTCAGAATGAAAGCGAAATTTTAGATCAAATTAGCAATGTAGATTGAAACATGAGAGAAACATTTGTCCTTCCTTGGGTTACATAGAGTACCGAAAGTGGTTGTTTTCTTCTCTTATGAAATGCTGGTCTCCCCAGACAGCCTTAATAGTATAGGCGAGAAAACACCTTTATCATTCAGGCAACAGACTTGACACTCATGCAGAGTGAGTTCCTTTTTAACAAAGTGATAGGAACTCTGGCAAGAGGATTTTACACAACAGTGGTTCTATTTGGAGACTGAAAACACTAAGGGTTTCAACTGCCACAGAAGACAGCAATGCCTCTTACCCCCCCCCCC